GTCAGACCCTGGAACAGACTGCCCAGGGAGGGGGTTGAGTCGCCGTCCCTGGATGTGTTCAAGTGTCGCTTAGATGGGGTGTTGGGTGAGATGGTTTAGGGGTGACCTTGTAGTGTAGGGTTAATGGTTGGACTCGATGATCCCAAGGGGCTTTTCCAACCTGAATCATTCTATGATTCTATGATTCCTTTGGCCTTCAAGATCTTCTGTCTACTTTTGGAAATCACCCAAAAGCAGAATTTGGGGAACTGGGGAAGGATGAGGAAAAACTGGAATTGCACTGCAAAATTACTGTCAAGCCTGGACTTATCCTTCAGAGAAAAAATCCCAAAACCCAGAGCATGCTCCAAGTGTCTTGCTGGATGGCTCTAACACAGGGGACCAAGGGAGCACTGGGCATGCACGATCTCCCCAGAAACCATATGGGCTTGGTCACAGGCTGAGTTCTCAAACTCTAGACACCTGCTGGTTTCTAGATGGTGAAAAACCATTGGGGACATACTTCACCACGGTTTGAAAGCCTGTCTTTGGATGTAGCTCCCACACCTCCTGTTCATGTGGTGTGTCACAGTGGTGGCACCCGTCTGTAAGAACACAAGGAACGTGGGGCACAGACGGCAGCGAGTCCCAGCATCAGGACCTGAACTTCTCCTACTGGATGGTTCTCAGGCCAGTATTTCCCCTGTGCTCAGCACCTCCAACGCCTCGTTCAGGTTTGGGCCCCTCCCCACAAGAAGGACATGGAGGGGCTGGAGCGTGTCCAGAGAGGGGCGACGGAGCTGGGGCAGGGGCTGGAGAGCAAGTGTGGGGAGGAGCGGCCGAGGGAGCTGGGGCTGCTCAGCTGGAGCAGAGGAGGCTGAGGGGAGACCCCATCGCTCTCTGCAGCTCCCGGGCAGGAGGGGGCAGCCAGGGGGGGTCGGTCTGGTCAAGGAACAAGCGATGGGACGAGAGGAAACGGCCTCAGGTTGCTCCAGGGCAGGTTTAGATCAGGTGTTAGGAAAAACTTCTTCATAGAAAGGACTGTGAAGCCCAGGGCAGTGGTGGAGTCAGTACAGTCAGACCTACAGACGTGGTGCTCAGGGACACGGGTTAGTGATGGACTCGGCAGCCCTGGGCTAATGGTCAGACTCAATGATCTTAAAGCTCTTTTCCAACCTAAATGGTCTTAGGAATCCATAAGGAGCGTTGGCTCTCATGTTCTCCCTTGGGGCCACACTCCACACGGGGCCACCTCCGCTCATCAAGGAATATCACCTCTCCAGGACAGGGCAGTAACGCTGACAACCTCTGCGCAGAAAAGGTCCAGGGGCTTCAACGTCAGTGACAAGATGACAGCATTAATTTGAACCATGGTTCTACACTGCGTACTCACTCAGTGTGAAGCCTGGGAGCTGACCAGTGCAGACCCTTCCAGCTCCTTCTGGAAGTGTTTTGTCCTCCGGGTTAAAGCTGACATACGGATTCTATGAGCAGATACAAACGATGTCGTAGAAAGCCTGAATTTGCAGGTCTCATCAGAAAGAGCATGTGCCTGAGTCAAAGTAACATCTCAGAGAGGGGAGGCACAGCCACCTCGGAAGGAGCAAGATGAAGAGCAACAAAGCTGGTGAGGGGCCTAGAGAGCACGTCTGATGAGAGCGGCTGAGGGAGCTGGGACTGCTTAGTCTAGAGAAGAGAAGGCTGAGAGGAGACCTCATCGCTCTCTACAACTCCCTGAAAGGAGACTGTACTCAGGTGGGTGTTGGTCTCTCCTCACAAGTTACTAATGATAGGGCAAGACGAAAACGACTCAAGTTGCACCAAGGGAGGTTTAGATTAGATACCAGGAAAAATTTCTTTACTGAAAGAGTGGCGAGGTATTGGAACGGGCTGCCCAGGGCAGGGCTGGAGTCACCATCCCTGGAGGGACTCAAAAAAATGTGTAGACGTGGCACTTCAGGACATTATTTAGTGGTCATGGTGGTGTTGGGTTGACGGTTGGACTTGATGATCTTAAGAGTTCTTTTTCCACCATAACAATTCTGTGATAAGACTAAAGCCCCAATCGCTTAGAGTCCCAAAGCCTTGCTTGGACGCCGTATCACCAGATGCCTCCTCTGCCCCCTCCTTTAAATAAAGCAGAGGAGCAAGGGGGAAGGCACATGGAGCCAGACCTAATACTTGCCAGGAGCTGTAAGAGGGCCCTGAGGAAAGGTGACAACAGTCACGTGCTCCACGTGTTTCCAGAGGAGTTGGTGTGGCCCCAGAGCACACTGCTATTCACAAACTAGGCCAGCAGAATCTCTTCCAACACACATTCAAGGAAGTCTGGGGGAATCCTCAGTCGGACAGATAAGCAAGCAAAAAACAAGCTGACAGAGCTAATGCAGGCTAGAAAAATCCAACAAACAACTCCAGTGGGCTCCAAACCAGAGATTCATACACAGACTCGTCAGTCCTCCACATGCCATGTACCTGGCAGCATCAGCTGTACCAACCAGATCCTCCACCAGGAGCTGATCTCTGTCCCTAACTCTCCAAAACATTTAAGACTTACCTCTTCTCCCTTGCTGGCTGATTTCTGTCTGCTGCAGGAAAGCCAGTTAGCCCAACCCTTCCCACAAACTGCTCAACCAGAACAATCAGAGGGGACACCCAAGAAAACAGAGATGTTGGAAGTAAAATTTATCTTCAGCTGCATTCTGCTGCTCTCCAGATCATGAACTTCACTGTATACGGAGTTCCTCCTATACACACGAGTACAGTTTTGGCTCTTTTTCCAAAAGAATCCATCATTTACTCCCCCTCTCCAGGAAAGACGGTTCTCACCATTTCCAGCAGCTTTCTTGTGGAACCCTGTCTAATCCAAACCAATCCTGAGTACAACTGCTGCTCTTAAGCCTTGCATCATCATCTCTCTCTCTCTCCTCACTCCAATTTACAGAAATCCAGCAAGATGCAGCTAATTTAAGCAAAGTCTCAAGCCCTCCCAAGCCAAGTGCTAGAGCCTGTACTACAGAAACAGCCAGTCCCTGAGGAATCAGTAAGAACGATCAGGCAGGAGACTCCTGAAGCCACCAGACAGACACTCACGTGGGGAGAGTCTTTAGCAGGTTCTCACGCAGCTCCAAAGTCACCAGGTTTGCCAAACTGCAAGAGAAAAGGGAGCAAGAAAGCCACATTCACTGAATTCACTGAACAGGGCTTCAGGGATACCAGGAGATGCTCATATACACCCTTCCCTTGGGGCCACCCCTCACGCCTGCACAAATGCGTATCCGTGAGCGTGTACACATGGATGGAGACGAGAGGGGAAAACAAAAAACAAGGAGGATCTTAAATGACTTCTGATGAAGGTGACTGCTTGCTGCAAAACCATGGGGAAACAACATCGGGCCCAAACTCAGGACAAGGAAACACGGCATCACACAGAGGACTGCTTGCCCCAAAAGATAAAACCCCTCACGCGCAGAAAGCCAAATCCCATGGGAGGGACACTGCCCCCAACGGGCACAGCCCCACGGGCTGTGCGTCGGCCATTTGTGAGCAGCATAAACCATTTCAGCCCCCTGGGACAGACCCCACCTGCCTGGAAAGGGGCAAACGGGCACTCATAAAATAAGACAGAGGACTCGAGAAGCCTGGAGGCGCTCCTTGCCTGTGCCACAGACCACAGGGGAGGAGAAGCAGCTGACACCAGGACAGGAACCTTTCTAAAAAGGTTGTCTTTTACCAGGAGCAACGCTCAGAGGTGCTCATGTGGCACGTTCAGTGCTGTGGCAAGCTACAGCTAGGATGGCACG